AGGTTGGTCTAAGGATCGGAAATCAAATTTTATTTATACTGTTCCAGTTCAACGTATGAAGATGAAATTAGTTGTAAACCATTATACACTTCTTGACTTACTAATATATGTGCATAGAATTATGAAGTTATACATGGTAAAAATATGCTTTTTTGGTCAGAGAAATAAAACGTATTCCTATGTAAAACTTTGATCAGCCATTGTGGCCCCGGCCCGCCCTACCCCCGGGGCTCATATTTGAACAAACTTGAATCTACACCATCTGAAGATACTAGTACTTCCATATAAATATCACCAACCATGGCTTTGCTGTTGAGAAGAAGATTTTTAAAGATTTTCCCTATACATTCCTATGTAAAACTTTGATCACCCATTGTGGCCCCGCCCTACCTCCGGAGGTCATGATTTGAACAAATTTGAATCTGCACTACCTGAGGATGCTACCAAATGAGTTTCATCTTTCCTGGCCCAGTGGTCCTTGAGAAGAAGATTTACAAAAGATGCCATTAATTTTTCGTTAATTCATAATTATCTCCCTTGAAAGAGGGAGTGGCCCTTCACATGAACAAACTTGAGTTCCCTTCACCCAAGGATACTTTGTGGCAAATTTTGTTGAAATTGGCCCAGTGGTTCTTGAGAAAAAGATGAAAATGTGCAAAGTTTACGACTTCAAGGACGACAACAACGACAACGGCAGACAACGGACAAATTCTGATCAGAAAAGCTCACTTGAGCCTCCAGCTCAGGTGAACTAAAAAACATTGGAGCAAGAAATAAACAACATTGTTCCCGATCAAATTCAAAATTAGGGAAAAATACCTACTATACTGATTATAGTTACTAGTATTCCTTAATCGTATCGTACATGTATGTTGCCAGCCAAAAATCCAAATATGAAACAGATGTGACAGATACATAGTGTCTTTTATTTCATGTTAACTGGGATATATATTGTAAATTGATAATACATCGTCGTTTTTATATATCGAGATGTGGCAACAGCAAGTTTTTTCTTCTCATATACTCAGTAGAAGTTTAAAAAAAAATAAAGGAGATGGGTGAACTTAGCGTGCAAAAAACCCACAAGCTTCAGATATATAAAAATCATATTCAAATTGTGATTTTAGTATTCAGAGTAAAATTCTCATCATTGATTTTTGTAAAATCATGATAAACAAAAAGGTTTGAGGAAAATTTTTCGTTAAAATTTATTCTTTTATAAAGAAAAATAATGTGGTATCCATTGGGTTCGAACCCTGGCAATAAAAATCCTGAGTTGCATTCTCTATTGAGACTAGCACGCTAACCACTACGCTACACAAATCCTGATAAAGTGTGGCATTTAAATCATGTTTGTGATATGACCATTGATTAAAGGGACTTCAAGTATTTCTCGAAAAGATACGAAAGTTATGTCATAAACTTATATTTTCAAGGTATAGTGGGTCATTACTCCATAATTTTGGAAACAAAAATATGCATGTTAATTTTTATGCAAACTTTGAGGATTACCTTTCAAAAAAATGGAGAGAAGACCCACTCATAACGAAAAATAGTGTTATAGTGTGAAAAAATGACTCGTTTTGTCCTCTTTCGTGTGTGTATAATATTTCATAGGCAAATAACTTTATTTTATTTTTTATGAGATTTTTATGAGATTTGTGCAAGTTGTAGAGACTTTACATAAAGTATACTTTAATGTTAGATGAAATATTAAGGAAAATTTTGATAAAATTGAGATTTAATTTTTCACCTTGATGTTTGTCGCGCTATGGGCATATCTCTCGTCATGTTCACCCATCTCCTTATGTTTCATTTGAAGATTGATGACAATGAATACGTCAAAGTCTAGGTCTAAAGTTAAAAAAAGCCCTATTTAGCATTTACACTGGCACAGTGTAGACTTGAGAGATACCATACATTAGATGATACCCCCGCTTGGAAATTAAGAGGGTATATAGAGATAGGGATTTCCGTCTGTCCGTCTGTTACGCGTTGGGGTACCCATCTCTTATCCACAACTCTTCTTATACCAAATAATGAAATTTAATGAGACTTCTACGGAATCTTCGTGACATAGTGCCACTGTGCACCTAGCTTTCATTTACCTTTGACTGGACACAAATTTTGGGTTCCATAGCGAAACATGGACACTTTCATTCTTTCTTTAATATTGAAGGGTACCCATCTCTTATTGCAACTCCTCCTATATCACTGAATAAAGCTTATTGAGTCTTTTACAGATTCTTTTTTACACAATGCCATTCATCGTCGCAAACCACGCAAAAATTGTACGATCCTAAGAGAGAGCTATATGCAGACTCCGAACCGTGGCTAGAGACGATGAATGGCATTATGCTCGGCCTAATTTACTATCTGACACTTATTTCGGGTCTCCCAGAGCAAAACACGGACTTTACCATTATACACTGTAATCATTTGGTAGGAGGGGTATCATTTAGTGTACCCAGTGCTCAATGTACCTTCTATAGTCTGTTGACAATATTGTGAATGTCCTGAAGAAGAATCTGAGGAGGACCTCTGTCAGAGCCTGTACCCATTATAGACTCTTATTTTTATGTATTTTTTAGATAAATAGTTATATAAGCTATAGTCGAATTGTTTTAACGAGGAAAACTGTATAAATACAGTCATTTCATAGGAAAAAGATTTTTGAATTGATTTCATTCCCCAGATCCTTTAATATTTCCATTTATATTTGTTTTCTCTGTAACAACTCTTTAAAGTTAGTTGTGTTGATTTCTCGATAATTCTACCGGAATGTAAATTTCGCCATTCGATAGGTAAGGAGCTAGACTAAAAAGTACAATTTCCCGTTCTATACGTTGGACTTTCAGTAAGGCATGGTATTCTCGACGTTACATAATTAGCTGTGAAATTTACACAGCTTTCATTCACTGTTGAAATAAACAAGGGATAGAAATTCGGGTGAATTTCAACAATTGTAGCAAATATTCAATAATGGCGTCTCGTATGGCAAAAAGGTGGGGATAAAGTCATCTCATCATCGTCAACAACAATCTAATGTTCCTGTTATTAATTTCTTAACGAAGGAGAATCTATTTGCCATTTGACAGACACTAATGACGTAGCGCCGAGAATGTCGCGTCTTACTGAAGGTCCAAGGATGAGAGAGAATTGTACTAATGAGTCTAAATATGCATGTAAATCTTGTGCGCGACTGTCTGTGTGTTTGGTGTCAGCGGGCGGGGAGCATTGAATAATTCAAATCTACAAGACGAGTCGACGTTTTAAAATCTAAATGAACAATTTTATATCACAATGAAACGTTTCCAACTATCGTTAATTAATGCCCTAGCATACTCCACTGACTATAAAGTGATTCCTTAAATGATCAATCAGGCATGAAGCCGGCCTCTTGATACATTATGAATTAGACTTTGAAACATTTCTATTATTCATACCTTCATCACCTGCACACGGCGTTTATATGAATTATATATCTCAGACCAAAATAAAATCATTGTTTGTTTGGAATTGCCTCCCGCCTCATTGATATGCCCCCTACTGAAAAAATATTATTGACCAAAAGTAGGAAGATTTTTTTTTTTATTTAGTCAGGTTTTTTTGCCCTTTACATGTATCACATACACCATACAAAACACTGAAATATAGTGTCAGATCTATGTAAAATTAGTGTTTTTTTTTGTCGATGGTAGATACTTTTTTTTTAAGTCAGAAAATGTATTTACTGTTTACTGAGATTTTATAAAAAAAATTAAAAATTTTTCTTCAATAAAAAAAAAAGTATTTTCCCATCCTCCTGTGTCTGAAACCCTTCAGACGGCAATTCCAAACAAACAATTTTTTAAGGATGGCCTAAGTTGATTCGATACGCAAGAGCATGATCTATGTATGAACAGTTTCTAAAACTGGGTAAATTATTGACAATTTAAACAAGTTGATGAAACAAGAATATCAGCAGTCTCGTTTAAAGTCATGATTTCGTAATTTCTATGGTCGATACAATGATCTTGACAGCAGATAGAATTTTTTTCATTGAGTCAAATGCTGAGTGACGTTTTTCATGCTAATTGCTAGATTACATGTATTATTTACACACTGAATTCACGACGGTTTTCCCTGTCATTTCCCGATCATTACAAGGAGCACACGGCGGGTGTGACTGGTCGATCGGCAGGGGATGCTCACTCCTCCATGGGACCTGATCTCACCTCAATCTAATTAGAATTAGACCTTTCATCTCGCTCTTGGTAAATTGATTTGTCGCTCCTTTCACGAGCGACAAATCAATTTACCAAGAGAGAGATGAAAGGTCTAATTTTAATTAGATTGATCCTGATCTGATGTTTTGGACGTCCGTGTTTGCTCTTCTTCTATTTGTATTGTTTTATGGACTTTGATATTGAATACTGTTCGTTATCTACATATCCTTCACTTCATTTTTATCATTATATATATGGTATTTTTCCAATGCCATTATTAACAAATAAATAAAAAGCTTTATATCTTTAATCTGAATACACTATATCCAATAATGACTCAAGGAGTGCATATTTAAACGTTTCTCAGAGTAAAGACCATGAGTATGTTGACAGTTTCTGTAATAATGATCTACAAACTATATAGGCATCCTAAATTGTATTAAAAAATTGTATCGAGCTACAATCATATTCATACCAATATTTCATTTTTTTTTTTTTTTTTTTTTTTGCAAATTAAGTACTTTTTACATATCAATAAGGTACACACGTGTTTATAAACCAAAACCCAAGTACCTGTGATCAATACACAATATACAAGATACGAGATACATAATATATAAAAGAAAAACTTAGATATAATTATACCGAAGATACGACCATAAGGACACTGTCAAGTTTTCCGGAATCCTAATGTCCATCGACATTTTTTAAATAGTTATCACGCAATATTCTTTTCCGGTTTGATAAGGAAATTATTTTTTTGAACACACTTACACAGACAAAGATTTTTCAATTATTTTTCAATTTTTCAATTATTTTTCTGTTTAAGTTTTGCAGAATCGATTTCCACGAACTGGAGACATTATTGACAAATGAAATAGTAAGTAATGTAAACCGTGCAATGGACAAAATAGATGTTTTGCAGTTTATGTAAAATCATTACGTTGTAATTCACATTTCTGATTTCGATAGGTAGCTTGAATTACATGTGTACCTTTACCGCAATTACGGTAGTTGTATTTAACCTTTTCAATGCACATTTTTATAGGTTTTCATCAACATTACCGGTATTTATATTATTATTTTGTTAAATTGTATTTAAAAAATATGATTTTTTCATTTGTATAAATAACTTATGCACATCATTGAATACAAAATTGAAGTATATACTAAAATAGCTTCTATGATGACCAAAGTAACTGGGGGTGGGGGGGGGGGGCACAAAGGCCACCCCCCTTCCAATTATTTTGTGACATACAGAATACTATCAAAAACCATTCGTATCTTGAAATACAATGTCAGACATGAATGATTAATAAACTCCATTTGTAAGTTCATATTTTTCATCATTTTAAATAAGTAACAATATTCCATTTGGTTTCCGTTTGATTTCTATTTGTGTAAACTGACGTGCCGCCCAGGTCCCCAAATAAATTGGCTTTATCCTCAAGGACACAATACCCATTCTTACTTACCCCTGGCAGAACTTTTATTTTTAAGCTAAATTTAAAAAAGATGAAGGGTTTCAGACCCAGGAGTGAGGGAGGGAAATTATTTTATTTTTTTAAATTGAAGATTAATTAAAAAATTTTGATAAAAATCTTAGTTAAAAGTAAAAACATGTTTTGACATATCTACCATCAAGTTTACGGTGTTTTGTAGCATGTGATACAAAAATGGGCAAAAAAAGAAAACACTTTTGGTCAATAAAATTTTTTCAGGAGGGGGCATTTTGATGAGGCAGGAGGCAATTCCAAACAAACTATAATTTTATTTTGGCCTTAGTTTACAGCACAAAAATGAGAAAACATGGCTGGGCCAGGAATCGAACTCAAGACCATTCATATGTGACCAGGTGCTCTCTCTACTGAGCTACCAAGATATTCAGGGCCAAAACCATTACGTGTGATTACTTCACATTTTGCTACATATATCATGAATATCATGTTAAAAGGAATAATTCAATCAAAAAGTAAAAAATTGGACTCCAATCAACTGGTTAAAATGTTATTCATATTGTTAAAATATTGGAGCTTTTAATTGTAATTGTGCTGTCAAAGAGAAAACATGTTTAGTTCAGTGTTGTTGTTTTTTTTTCACGAATTATTTTTGTATCATTTCATGATTAAAAATTATTACTGCTTCAAAATGCAATTACAGCAAAACTCGTTTAGTATGAACAAGTTTATTGCGAATTTACGGATATAGCGAAGTCCTCTTGGATCTCCAGCTAAATATATTTAATGAATTTCTGATATGGTTATAACGAATTACAGATATAGCGAAGTAATTTCATAGGTCCCCGTGACTTCGTTATAATCGAGTTTTGCTGTACTTTAGACATCCTGAATAAGTTCCTCTAAAACAAATATTATGCATATATTGCATTAAGTTGCAAAATAAAGGTACACAAGTTGATGTCAAAACGCATACAAAATGAAAAGATTTGTCAGAATTTTAAATTTATCATTTGCTTGTTTCTATTTTAGGGAAAATAAGCATTCTTCAGCAAGGAGACAGTGATGTTAAGAGATTAAAAAAAGAAAGAAAAGAAAGAAAGCAAGAGGAAAATTTGTAACAGTCTTGAAACAATAAACTTGTAAAAATCCATTCCATTTTTCCTTTCTGGAGAGAAACTGTAAAATGTCAGAAGGAAGCATTGGTGATTTCACTTGTGATAACTGTGGAAAAACATTTAGAAAGCTGGTATATCTCAAGTATCATGAAAGAAGTCACACTGATAAATATAAAGATGATAAACATGACAAAGGAGATGAATATCACGTGAAGGAGGAAAATCCCGTCTCCGGTCGGAAGCTTAAGGTGGAAAAGACTGATTACTCCAGTGATGAATTTGAAGAAAACGCTTCCCCGCCCAGCCCTCAAAGTGAAGGAAGTAGTGAAGACAGCAGGGAAGGTCAGAGGTCAAGTCTGAAGATGAACCATCTTGCCTGGCCACAAAGTCAACTAGTGAAAAGTTATCCTTGTCGAGTATGTAAGAAAGTATTCGGACGACTGTCACATCTTAGGCGTCATGAAAAACTTCACACTGGAGAGAAAAATTTTATTTGTGAAGTTTGTGGCAAAGGTTTTCTTGAGGGTTCAGGCTTGCGGACACACAAGCTCACACACACCGGGGAGAAGCCATTTGTCTGCCAGGAATGCGGAAAACGTTTTCGTCAAAAAGGAGCTTTATCCGTGCACCTCCTGTTGCACAGTGGAGAAAAGTCACACATATGCGATATTTGTGGCAGAGCTTTTGCTCAAAATAGTAATTTGAAAAAACACGTAGAGAGACATCAGAATGGATCCCCGTACAGATGTGAACGCTGTTTTCGAGATTTCAAATGTGAAAGCATTTATCAAAAGCATATGAAAAAGCATGAAGAAAAAGTCATTGCGTACTGTAGCAATTGCAACCAGGGTTTCACCACTGACCAAAAACTCAAGAGACATGAGTATGGATGTTTGAGACGTGGTGACCCAATTTGCGAAGTCTGCGGAAAAAAGTTTAAAAGTCACTCTAACTTGGATCGCCACATGATGATTCATACGGGGGAGAAGCCATTTGCTTGTGAGGAGTGTGGGAAGGCGTTTAACCAGCTCCAGTACCTGAACACCCACATGATGATACACACAGGCCAGAAACCGTACAAATGTGAAATCTGTGGCAAAGGATTTGTTCAAAACCAAAACAAAAAGCAGCACATGAAGACACACCGTGACCATCCCATGGGAATGATAAAGCAAACCGAGAATGACCAGAGCCTGACAGCTGATTCTTCTGAATGTTTTGATGCAGGGGAGGAAGCATTTCTCTGATTCATTAAAATGCCAAAACAATGTACAAGAATCAATTCAATCATTAATCAATTCCAAATGATCAATTTTCTTACTCCTCCATGGCACCTGATCCCACCTCTGATGTTTTGGAGGTCCGTGTTTGCTCTGCTCTTATTATGTTCCCCAAACGGAGTTTGGGAACATTGTTTTTACTCTGTTTCTTATTATTTTGTATTGTTTTATGGACATTGAGATTGAATACTGTTCGTTATCTCCATATCCTTCTTTCTGTCAACCTAGTTTTTTTTACCTTAATTTGTAGATTGTGTAGTAATTGTTTGTAAGGTGAAATAAAAAAAAAAGCATCAATAATCATTGGCAGTTATTATTATATTATACTTGTTAGACAAGATTCCAAGACCAGTTCACTACATGGTATCTGTAACAGTCTTATGAGGACTCTATCATTAACCTGAAAATATATTCGGGTTACTTCTCTTTTAAATTTCTCTAAGATATTTGCAGGTAAACTTTTATCTGATAACTGTTTCTAATGTACTTGTCAGTGGAAGATATGAAAAATGAACTCAGGGTATGAAGGTCACTATTTTTATCGTCAAACACAAACTGGGTAACTTTTTTGAAAAGAATATTATTTTTATCCATGACAGAATCGATCATTTAAATCCCTTGTATCATAAACAGCAGTGAGGAATTTCAAATATGGTTTAACCTTATCATGATTCAATCTCTTAATGTCAAAGAAAAGGCTGTATGTGTACTGTACTTCTTTAAGGGAGTTGGTGCGTATTGTCTATTCCTTGGTTATATTTCATTATTTTTTCGTTTTGCAAACAATACTAGTATCCAGATACGACTACAAAAAATATAAAAGTAAACTAAAGGCACTGAGAGCAATGAGCTCATTTAATGATACGCCCGCTTCCCATATGGTTATAATGGCAAAGTCCACGTTTTGCGCTGGGAGACCCGAAATAAGTGTCAGTTCAAAAAGTAAAATAGGAGGTCCACAAAGGCAATCCAATGTTTGCATCGGGTCCTAAAACCATAAGAGATGAGTGCCTCATAGAGTAACAGTGGGACGTACAGACAGACAGATGGAATTATTATACTGAAATCCCGATCACTTCATACCTTCCTGCTTTTCAAGCGGGGGTATAATAATAGATTCCGTTATGTCCAACCCTACTGTTATGGTCTTTGATGACTTCACGTAAGTTTTTTAAAGAACGAAACATCAGTTACCGAAAGTGATTATTATTTGTACGTGTATAACTTATTAAACAAATTACAGGTAATAAGAGCACTGAATTCACTAAATGATACCCCCTGCCTCTCATATTATTATAATGGCAAATCCTATGTTTTGGTCTTGGAAACCCAAAATAAGTGTCAGATCAAAAAGTAAAACAGGAAGTGCACAATGGCATTATGTCATAAAAATCTGTGAAAATATCAAATTTTATTCAAAACAAGTTGATGCACCAAAAATATCCGCATTCTCGTTTAAATTAATCATTTCTTAAGTTCTTTCGTCGATGCAATGACCTTTTCAGCAAATACAATTTATCATTGAATTAAAATGCTGGCTGGTTTTTCATACTAATTGTTAGTCCATTATTTAATTACTGAGCTGACGACGGATTTTACCTATACACTGTATTTCCTGTTCATGACAAGGAGCACACGGCGGGTTTGATCGGTCAGCAGGGGATGCTCACTCCTCCATAGCACCTGACCCCATCTCTGATGTTTTGGAGGTCCTTGTTTTCTCTGCTCCTATTTTGTATTGTTTTATGATTTTTGAGCTTGAATACATATATTTCATTCACTGAATAGGATGAGTTTCGGATAAGAGATAGATACTTTTCAATGTAATAGAAAGAGTAGCAGTGTCCATGTTTTTCTGTGGGAAACCCGACATAAGCGTCCGATCATAAAGTAAAACAGGAGGTGCACAATGGCACTATGTAACAAAAATTCTGTGAAATCTCACTATATAAATTTCATTCAGTGGTATTGTAGGAGTAGCGGATGGATGCCCCAAAGCGTTATATAGATGTACATACGGACGGACGTACAGCTAGACGGACATCCTAATCACAATTGAATATACCCTACCGCTTTTCAAGCAGGGGTATAAAAATATTCTTAGGGGCATAATCAAAACATAAACCTAGTTAATGTTACAAATTTCTCCTGCTGTGTGATACTTTATTCCAAGGAGCATGATTAATCCATAAACCCAGTCAATATAGCAAAGTATTCCTATTATTTAAAAAAAAATGTAATGTATAAGAATTCATTGTTTTTTACCCAACACCTACTACGTTGTAGTGAAGTATGGACAAGTTAGGATGATATCCATTTAACATTTTCGATAAAACATTATATTTTTAAAACTGCCTTCATAATTGTTATTAATCTATAAATTAAGTCGTCTTTACTGAGTAAATCAGTTTCCTGTAATAATCTGTTCCAAATGGTTTTGGACTAAAGGATTTATTGAGGAACCACTCTTCCATGCATTGTAATGCCAGAGGTTGGAAGTCATGATGAAACTTATTGGCAAAAAGTTCTTTTTCTGACACAACTCTATTTATGTCCCAAATACCAAACACACAAACGTCATGGACATATTTCCCATTGCAATCCTTGTTCGCCTTCCATGATAATGTGACCGGTATCCACAATTTTCTGTTTGGAAAACCTGGAAAAGAAACTGCTAAATGATATTGCAATTTCATATATTACATCCAATATAGGATTAAATGATCAGGTCCAAAATTCTACTGAAAGCTCATATCATCTAAAGAGCACGAGACACACTCAGCCCATTTGTAAAGAAACAAGATGTGTTTGTGACACACTGCTGTCCTCGTATGACAGCTCGTGACGAGGGTTAAATTTTATCAAATGCAAGTCAAATTCCAAGATTAAGGTCTATCTTCCACACAGGATCTTAAAACAGCACATTGATAAAGATATAAAAGTTAAAAGTTCACTTTACTCACCCAACACACCAGGAACATTAAGATGTTTATTACTGGCTAAGGTCGCCCAGAAGAATTCGTCAGGACTGTATGTGTCTTCTAACCATTTTAATATTTCCTGAGCCTTTACATCATTGACTGAAAAATTCACAAAACTCCAACTAAACACCCCATATGCACTTCCTCTTCCTACAGTGATATTATAAGATGGCGGGTCCTTTTTCTTTCCCGTTGCCTGTATCGTTTGGTCCCGAACTGTGTAAGATTCGTTGCACCTATAATACGCTTTATCATCGTGAATACTTTCTATGCTGCTTGTTCCATTAAAAACCTTTAAGATTTTGACGATTTCTGCGTTAGTTTTTATAGGGTATTCCTGAGGTGGTAAGTTAATGACATATCGCCACTTTATGTCGGTGTTATGTAGTAAATCGAACATACAGTTCAGGTCAGCTTTCAATCGAGAAAACCCTGCATAGATGACATCCTCCAGTTTGGAAGCAATGAAAACATTGGGAAGACAGTTTGCTATAGATGTCATGGCGTATAGTAAGGATGGACCAGTCTCTGAAATTTTGTCTACGTGTATACAATAAACATTATGTGGTCGATAGATGGCATATAGGAGCTTCTCTGTTTGTATTGCATCTTTGTAAGTCAGTATTGTGTAAGCAATGGGGAAATCTAATTCTTCTTGGGACACAGTGTAAAGGTTATAGCTATATACTTCTTTAAATTTGGTACAGTTTTGAGCTAGGTCTCCTATTTGTCTATCCGCTGGATATCTGTACACCATTTTTGCCATTGTTTCATTAGCTGCTGATATATATTCACTGTCACCCTCAATTATGCGTTGACAATCTACCTCATACACTAAACGGCAAGGACCCGGTCGACGAGGGACAAGAGAAGTCATATTGAATGGTTGTTGATGTTTTGGTTGATTAAATAAAAAAGTGATGATCAGGAATTCTTCCGAAAGGCATGTTAGAGAAACGATAGTTATTAGTATCACAAAAGAAATAAGAAGTTTTCGAAACCTTGAGCACTGCACAGCTGAAACTAAAAACAACGCCAGTTCTCCTTTCATCTACTAAAAGGAAAAGTACATTAGTAAAATAGTTCCTTTAAGAGGATGCCCTTTCTTCTTTTAAAAGTGAAAAATACATTAGTAAGATAGTTCCTAAAAGGACATACCAAATCAGGGCCTAATGGGCAAACACGTATAGTTAAAGATAAACGCAATAAACATATTACATTTGTGGTATTTTTAAAGTTTTTTTTATGCAGAGTAGACATATAATATATAGTTTGTTTAATGCAAGATATATCTATGGCACTCCAAATTCACAAAAATGAGATAAACCTAGTTTCACAATTGATAAACTAGGTTCATCGACTGTAAACTATAGTTTACAAACCGTAAACTATAGTTAACGATTCGTTAAGTATAGCTTTCATCTGTAAAACTATATTTAACGGTCGTTAACTATAGTTTACGAATGCTAATCTAAGTTTATCTGTCTGAATAAAGCGTTAACAATAGATTTTGTTGATAAACATAGATTCACGTTTGTAAACTATAGTTTACAATCGTAAACTATAGTTAAGAGACTGTTAATCATAGTTTCACAAATCGTGAAACTATATTTATCAGATCGTTAGCTATAGTTAACGGTTTGCAAACTATAGTTTACAAATCGTGAAACTGTATCAGATAATCTATGTCTTGCAATCGCAAATGATTGTTTTCGATGTTAAGTATAGTTTACGGTTGTGAAACATAGATTATCGCGTTAACTATGGTTTACAGATGTAAAATATAGATAATTAAACGTTGTTAACTATAGTTTAAGTCCGTAAACTATAGTTTACAACCGATAAACCTAGTTTATCGACTGTGAAACTATGTTTTTCTCATTTTTGTGGATTTGGCGTGCCATATATATCTGCAATTTTAAAATCATACAACCTAATGTGTATACTCGTGTACATGTACATGCGCATGATATTAATAGTTATCGGCATTGTTTTAAAGACTGATGATCTTCTTTTCTCGTTGCTTCAAGTCATAAAGAACTAAAGCCATGCATGAAATTGCCCCTGAAACCAAAATGAAAAAAAAACTTTTTCTTATAATATTTCAAAGGTGCATGGACACAGATTTGAAGTTGATATTTTTTGTATAATAATACAACTTATATATTTTAATAGCATTCCACACAAAATATATAAAAAAGTCTTATTTTATCTAAAAGTTATTAAAACTTCAATTTTTTAGACAGGTTTGATTGTCACGAATTTTAATTTTATTCTTAATACCTAGGAAAAGTGGCAATCATTTTGTGTATAAATGAAAAATATTAAAACTATAATCCAGGAAATTCAGAGTAGAAATGTTCGAACGCAAAACATACACACAGTATATTTTCAGTCCGTGCAGTTGTGTTTAGAAGACTTTAACCCGGTGAATCGTAAACATCAACAATAAAGGCTCGTACCCTGTTTACAAAAACTGTGTACGTCTCATGGATGAGATCAATCTGCTAAACTCTGTGCACAATACTTAGCGCGGAATGACGAAACTTTTGAAAGAGGTTTTGCTTTCTAACATTTCTACTCCATATATGATTATTTTTCTGGATTAAAGTCTTATTATTTTTCATTAATAGACAACAAAATTGCCACTTTTACTAAGCATTACAAATAAAATTAATATTTGTTAGAGTGCAAGGATATGTCAATCAAACCCATCCATAACTTTAAGATGAAATAAAATTTTTAAAAATATTTTTGTTTGAAATGCTATTAAGATACTAGAATACAAGTCTTGATATTATACAGAAAATATTAACTTCAAATCTGTGTCCATGTACCTTTAAGATCAGCAAATTCTAAAACAATTTATTTTATTAAGATATATCTTTTTTTTTTTTGCAGTCGTTTAAACTTAGTTTTGTTTTTTAATGAATGTTATGTCATGACGTTGCAGTAATATACTTAAAACGTCATGGTGTTAATTAATTGCTTTTTCTAGAAAGTAAGCATGTACATTGACGCAATGAAATTTATTTGATCACGAGTTTTCCATAAACTTAAGAAGTTCTGAAACATGAGGTATTTTTTTAAAATCAATTTTCGCATATCTAGGTTTCTGAAAACAATATGACAAAACGAGCACGGGATGTTTACTCCTCTATGCATCTGATCCAACATTCTGATGTTTTAGAGAGATCCATGTTTTCTCTACTCCTGGTTTGTATTGATTTAACGAACTCTAAAGCTTGAAGAACCCTGTTATTTCCATATTTCATGAAAGGTTCATTCCATTTTTGATTTTTGTGTATAATACGTGTAACTTGGATGATATTTGCCTAAATAAGTGTAAAATACAGAGTGATTTTTAAAATCCACTTTTGATATACATGCAATATATCATGTGCATGTATTATGTATGTAATATCTTTCCAAAATCAGCTTGGTTATGAAATTTTATCATTATATAATTTTAATTCTTTTTAATAATTAAATTTCAAAAATAGAATAAAGTTTACGATTGATATATACTAAACATTTCTTAAACTTAGACCGACTTTTACGATGTCAATATTAACAATGTCATACATAATTATGTCACAAAAACAAAAGTAAATATATATACTGTATGTATTACTACATATATAGTATGCTCTTCATAGAAAAAACAAAATTAATTGGAACCTCACCTTTAAAAAGAAACACATTCCATTCAGATTCATTGTTGGATTTTTTTTTTATCAAACAATCGCTCTTTATTTTCTTATCATTTTCAAAAGCATGTAAAATACCTTGAAACCCATACTAAAATCAATTTTAAGCATGTCCCATTTTTTCAACAAATTTAGGACCTTTCTGTCTTATATGGTAGCACGTTTAGGACACTGCAATTCATCTAAATTTCTTATGTTAGAAAATATTAAGCGATTATATCAGTCGACTTATTTCCGTGTTTTCAATACTTAGTATCTATCTGGTTTGCTCGATTTATTTCGTTTTAACAATTTATTTTCACTTTCGCACTACTTTTTAACTCGTTAGTAACATGTATTAATATGTCGTCCACACAAACTTTTAAATTATTTTAAATTATTTCTTCTGCTTTCGAAATAAGAATTATTCAAAAGATACAGGCATATCTTACTTGAACGAAATATTTGTTGTACAAAGGACATTATATCTCGTGCGAACGAAAAAATAAACTGTTATTAAATACGAGGCATTAGTCCTCATAACGCAATATTAGTATTGTTCGAAAACAGATATGTCGTACGAACGAAATAAGTTTTGCAATCGACATAATGTTTCCGAACATAAGAGTAAAAAAAGCGTTTGCATGTCCGTAATATACAACCGTAGTAAATGTAATCTATAACAGACTTTAAGAAACTCTTTTCATCCGACAGGAGAATGTGCACAGAATTAACACTGCTAACACGTGAATAATCTTATCAAGAATGCCGTTACCTGCAAAACAAAACAGTACTACATTTCGGAAGCACTTTGCTATACTTTTGTCTGTCAATCTGTTTAGCCGTCTTTGTGACTATCTGTCACATGGTCTGAATTTATCAATTGCATTGCTTGGTGCTTTGCACAAGGGTTTTTTTTTTGGTAAAAATCAGTACCATTGACGTCGTAATTTCTCTGTTGGCAAATTTTACAAAAATGGCTTACATAGAACACTATATATTCTGCATCTCTGATGTTTTTAAAATTTCCACTCCTGTTATATTAAAGTAATGTACGCTATAACGTGCGCCATTTTAAAATACGGCTGGAAATTTATATATTTTGTTTACCAATAAAAGTTACGAAAATGCTGTAAATTACACCATTTAAATAAAATTCGTTATAAAGTTATCAAATTATAATTATTTATTATCCTGCAAGGAGAATAATGTCTATTTTTAAGTAAATCCACCACGTGACGCCGTCGCTACTTTTAGATTGATAAACAAACACGGCCTCAAGAAAACGAGGTAAGCCCTTTGAGATACAACTCACTTTTGACATGGATGGCGTGTTACTATTAATATAACTTATCTTTAAATGTAATCAGTATCAAAAATCTATACTCTGTTATGACGCATATTAACCTTTTATAAATAATCGTTGTCAAAATGAAACGTGCCTCGTTGTCTATAATTTCCCATGGACATACGTGTCTATATTTAGACCTACTGTTTACGCACTTCCTTTATCAATATTCATGAAAAGACTGAATTCTTGATTGCAGATATTGCTTTATTGTTCTGTTATTACAACGAGTTTTATAGTTAAATTTTGTGGAAATATTATTTTTTCATTACACTTTATGTGTTTCAAATCATTTAATCATTTTGTTTCACATACAAATCGGCATCCATACGGAGTATATTACTTTAAATATATGATGTAGTAAACAGTATTCAAGCTAAATAGTCCATAAAAATGTAACAGAGACAATTTATTGCCTCTGCTGGGGATTGAACCCGGGACCTCTAGCTTACCAGTCCAGTGCTCTACCGATTGAGCTAAAGGGTTAACCCACTAGCCCAAGCTAGTAGGATGCCGTTTATCTAACACTACCACATTGTCCCCCTCCAGAGATTGAGATGTCCTCATCTCTTTCGGAGTATGATCTTTGGCGATATGAAGTTGACTGTTTGATCAAGGAAAAATGCAAGGAGGAGATAATTGCTCAGTCAATTAGGAGATCATTGCGAGGAGATGCAGGCAAGGTTGCTATGAGACTTGGTCCTGGAGCCACTGTAACCCAGATACTGGACAAGATGGAGAGTGTGTTTGGCACTATAGAACGAGGAGAGACAAGCATGGAACAATTTTACAGTGCGCGACAAGAAAAAGGAGAGGATAGTATGAGTTGGAGTTGTCGTCTAGAGGAGATTTATAGAAAGGCAGTTATCAAAGGAGTTACAACCAAGGAGGATTCAAATGAGAAATTGAGATCCAAATTCTGGAATGGTCTTCATCAGTGGATTAAGGATATTACCGGAT